TATGGTGTATGGGCTTCTGAGGCTAAATTGGGTGGTGACTGGTTCTGTCAAAGAAGAATATGGGCATGGAGTAGGTTCAGGCTTGAAAATGATGGCAACAATTTGATTCCTCTCACATTAATGTGAATCATCTGGAAAGAGAGAAACCTTAGAGTTTTTGAGGGAAGGGAAACTCTGGTGAATAGATTGAGAGATACGTGGTTTCATTTTTTTGGAAATATGTTTTTGAGGCGTGACATGATGAGTGGAGTAGATTTTGGGGTTGTCATTGATACCCTCACTAGAATGTAAATTTACTGTATATGAGCAGTACCCTCTTTTAGTTCTTTGTTTATAATACTACATTAGCACTTTTTATTTCAAAAAAAAAAAAAGTTTATCTTGAGTCCTGAAACAGCTAGGAAGCACATAAGCATGCATCTCAAATGTAACAAACTTCTCAATTCCGGTTGACAGAAAATTAGAGTATCATCGGCAAAAAAAGGATGCAAAATTTCAGTGGTAACCCCTCTCCTTCCCACTGAAACACCACTAATCAGTTGTTATTCATGAGCTCTATTCATTAACCTGTTTAAAGCCTCCATCACCATTATAAACAAAATGGGGGATAGCAGATCGCCTTGTCACAGTCCTCTTGAAGCATTGAAGAAATTGGAAGGGCCCCCATTTACTAAAACAGCAAAAGAAGTGGTAGTGACAAAAACTTTCATCAAACTTCTCCATTTCTGTCCAAACCCATTCTCAAGAGCATGTAATCCACAAAATTACAATTCACATGATTATATGCTTTTTCCATATCAAGTTTACACACCAATCCATCCTTTTTGCTATTAAATAAATCATCAACCATTGGTAATGTCATTTCTATCCCAAAGGAAACTCTCATCATAGAGACGAAACCTTTTATGTGATTTATAAGGGAAAACTGAAGTTATGGGATTAGGAAAAGGTTCTAATTTTATTTCTTTAGTCTAGAGATTAAGTATTTCAGTTTTATCTCTGTTTTATTCTCAAAAAAGGATTAACCAGTTGTTCATATTTCTTTTAGAATCATTTGGCTAATGGCTCATAACACTTGGACCAAATCCTTGAGGAGTGAAGATGGGTCCTCCCACTTTCCTTAAACGAAATAGAAAAGAAGATTTCTAGAGCTAAGAGCGCCGAGAACAAATGAGGCACAAGGAGATTGTTGATCCTGAAAGAACTGAAGCTGAGGATTGGTGGAGGATCTTTTGGCTATCACAATAGAGAAAAGAACACAAAGAAATTTAACATGGTTCAGCAATGTGCCTCTTATATCAAGAAGCCGTCTCTGGTTGGGTAAAAAGTGAAACTCACACGCAGGGGTAAATTAGTCATTTTGTCTGCATAGGATTTAGGGTTTTGCATCAACCTAACCGTTACCATCACATCCTGCGTCTGTCGTTGCCGCCACAAAGGCCGACTGGGTTTTGCCTTCATCACCATTTGCATATAAATAGGTCATTCTTCATCATTGCAAAGCATGGAAAATAAGAAATAATTTTACCTAATAAAAATCTCTCTTCTTTTCTCTTCGTTCTCTTCTTTTTCTCTTTTCTTTCTCCGGTCCAAAGACATGAGTAAGGCTTCTGACAAGGTGGTATCAGAACTTTCGGAGCTGGCTAAATCACACATCAAGGTTGTCTTGCAAACCAAATCCAAAGGAAAGACAGTGGTCATGGCGGAGCAGGTGGAGCCGATGGCGAAAGAGCTGAACCAACTACAATCCGACCTCATGGCCGAATTTCACGAGATTCAAAGAAAATCGTACCAACAATTCGAATGCCTGGTAGAGAAGTTGCGCGGCTGCACGTAGCACCAAGAGAAGGCCAGTTCGGCAGCCCAGCCCACCACCGTCCCAATTGGATAGCAAGGGATCCTAGCGACTTCCCTCGCGTATGAAGATGAAGAAAGGAGAAAGTTGATTTTAGAAGTTAAAAGAAATCCCAAAACCGGTTTGATCGATTTAGGGTTTAAAATAAATGAACCGAGCTGGCTTAGTTTAGACTAACCCGGTTCAAGTTTCCAATCAAACAGGTCCTCCAATTTCACCATGAACTGGACTGGTTCACCCCTTTTGGTTAAGTGCCTAGCTTGCCCAAGGTAGAAATTTCACTTTTTAAGGGTATTAATCCCCGTGCTTGGATCCTAAGATACGATAAATATACTTTGGTACACAGAACACCGAAAGAACAGAAAGTGAAGATGGCATAACTCTTCCTACGTGACATAGCAGACGTTTAGTACCAAGGATGGTTGGCGAATGTTGAAGAGCTTGAATGGAATTTTTTCGTGGAGGAACTTTGTCGAACAATTGGGGCGCCTTACAAAAAGATTTTATTGAAGAAGTTAACAAGATGATGCAAAACGGAACTGTTCTAAAATATCAAGCACGTGTCAAACATTTGTGTGCGTTAACAAAAATGAACAGTCCCACTCGTTTAGAGAAATTTTTCATTTCCAGTTTTATCAGTGAGTTTAAACCCGAACTGCAACCAATAATAAGATTACTTCACCCACGTTTGCTCAACCAAACCCTTGAACAAGCTCTACTCCAAGAAGAATTTATATGCCCTTGAGCAATTTCTATCAACATGGATTTTTGGGTTTTCTACCAGACCCGATTTTTTGTTTTACCCGAGCTCAACTGTGAAGATTTACCCGATTCCAGCCCCAAAATTTCCTCGACCCAGGCCCAAATTTTTGTCCATACCCAGCCTTCCTACTCTCCTGCTCGGCCCATCATTAAGTCTCAAAACCTTCAGCTCTAACTCAACAAACCCCAGTCTCCTTAAAGGCCTAGCATCATCCACCCAGCAATTGCTCAATCCCATGATAAAAGTAAATAAAGTCCACATTTTTCCTCCTATTCTCTTTGTCTATTTCATTTTAAAATATTAAAATTTTGAGCAAAGTACAGTTCCGATACCTTGTGGTTTGACTATTTTCAATTTCAATTGTTTTTTTCTTACACATTCAATTCATGTGGTTTCTCAAATTGGCAATTTTACATATTAGTCTTAGAATGCAAATGAACTCTCATCTTTATACTTGTAAAGATCTATACATATCAGACCTAGGCTAAACAAATAAAAATCAGGACAAAATTACAAAATACTAAAAGAAAATAACCTCAAAAAAACTATTAGTCAAAAGTAACATGAGAAAAAAACAAACTTTTTTTCAAATAAATTATTGAGAAAAAAGACAAATTACAGGCACTGAACTCCCAAAAAATAGAAACAAGATACCAAATGTGAAAACAACCAAACATAAGGCATTAGATCATAATTTACTCTGAACTTTAAATGTATCATAATAGGAGTCTGATTTTCTGTTACATGTGAGTTGCTGAAATCATGCTACGCTCGTGTTAAGATCCTAGAATAAAATCTGGAAATCCTACCTAGACACTGCATTTTTGTTAACGATTTGATCAAACATCCAGATAAGAAAATTGTCTTTAGATAACTTGCAAATAGATTTATCAGCCATGAAACTTCAGTCGGTAAAATTTTCTGAGACGGTGAAAATATTCACCTTCAGAGAATTGTTTTAATGGTACACAAAAAGGTTAAAATATCAAAGTGATGGAAAAAAAGAAGTTAAGATATTATTTTCAAAAAAAAAAAAGTTAAGATATTAACTTAAAAAAAAAAAAAAAAACTCACCAACAGTTGCCTTTCCCAATTGTCCTGTTATTAGTTCACTATTCCGAAAGTAAACAAATCCATCATTGGGGCACATTGTATCATCTATCTTGTTCTTTTTGAAGTTCTTCTCCTTCAACGTGAGAGTGAGATAGACTCTCAAACTTGCATTTGGTCGTAGTAAAACGTTGAATAGTTGCTTACCAGTCCAAAGTTCTACTGGCTGCAGAATGACAATTGCATAGAAATTACAAATTGAAAGATTTAAGGAAAAAACTAAAGAAAAAGGTACAACTTTTTAAAACAACAAATCCGGGATCTATAATAAGTGCAACTTTGTAGTGAAAATAACAATAATTATCCAAAAACACATATTACAAGTCCATTGCTTTAAAAAGTTACAGATGAGACCATATTTTTTACTCAAATACTCATCTAGAACAGAAACTATTTACTCCTGGAAGAACATTTCAAAGGGAAATGCCTCTTCTCGCGTTGCTTTCTTTGCAAGGGTTGTAACACTTCATAATCTCAATATGAGAGGAGCTTTCAGATTGAAAAGAGTAAAAAGATAATCATTTTACTCACTCCTTTAGCCCTTTTTTTGCATCATATCTAGAGAAAGAAATGCAATATTTTATATTTTGCATTCTCCTTTCACAGAATTAGGGAGCATTCTTTTTCCAAGGCTAAGTTCCAACAAATAGGGAGGATTAGGAGCACTGGTTTGCCAAAGCTCAGTTCCAACAATTCTTATTTAATGATATTTCTACTCATTAGTTCTTGACAATTCTTCTCCTCCATACTGCTGCCAACTCCTTCAGTCTCCTGTGAACAGATTGTCTTTTAAATTAAAAGAATCTTTTCACTCTGTTAGAACAATTAAGGAGATATTAATGTTATATTACTCATTAGTTCTTGTCAATTCTTCTCTTCCATAGTGGTGGCAACTCCTTATATCCCTTGTGAATAAATAACTCTTACACTCTGTCAGAACAGTAGAATGACTTGTCTACTTAAACTCATCGCTGTGGTGGAGCTTCTGTTCATTCTCAATTATGCACTTGGCCAAAAGGATTAATCTTCTTACAAAGAAAAAAAAAATCAAAATGGATTTCACGAACCAAAATATCTCATACATGTATAAACAAATTAAAAGATCACATTTTTTCTGAAAGTTAATTGTGTCCTTTGTTCCTGCCTGCTACTAAGGCAATATCAAGATACTTCCTCTCTGTAACCAGATATCTCCTAAGGAAATACTGGCATAAAGAAGATTGAGAAAACCACAACCAAGAAGGCCTGATGCTGACATACAGAGTAACAAGAAAGAGACAGAGATGTTGAGCCAGCAATAACCATTTTCATTTAGTTAAGACTTCGGAAAATGTTGATAAGAGCCAGAGACTTTAGATTTATTCAAAGACCTTAAGTGGGGGTGGGGAACTGGTAACCTGTTTATTTTTTTGCAAATGATACTATGATATTTTGTGAGCCAGATAAGAGAGTCATTCTCAATCTCAAGTGTGTACTGATGGGCTTCAGGGCGGTTTCAGGAGATAAACATTAATCTTGCTAAATCTGAGTTGGTGAGATTCCGAGATGAGAATGATTCTGATAGTTTGGCTAGGGTCATGGGCAGGAAGGCAGTCAAATTGTCAATCAATTATTTGGGACTTCCTGTGGGGCCTAATTTTAAAGAGGTGAGTATGTGGGATCTGGTAGTGAACAAGTTTTGAGCAGCAATTAGCATGGTGGAAGAGAGCACTACTTCTTAAAGGGAGAAGACTTTAGCTTATCAAAAGTACACTGGGTAATTTACCTATTTACTATATGTCCCTATTGACTATCTCGGTGAGTGCGGGCAAGAAATTGAAAGGTATCTGTAGCAAATTTTTATGGGGTGATTCGGAGAGAAGAAGAAGATACCATCTGGTGGCTTTGAGAAGAAATCAAGAAGCCTCTATCTTTTGGTGGTTCAAGGTTACGATCCTTGGTGGAGATGAATGGAGCCTTCCAAGTCAAGTGTCTGTGGAGGTTTATGGAAAAAGAAGGTAGGCTTTGGAAGAGGCGATAGTAGTGAAATTTGGTACAGACAAGAGAGGGTGGTTAACAAGAGCTATGTCAAGACCACATGGGAAAGGTTTGTAGAAGAGAACTTGTGTGGGCCAAGCCAAATTTCATGTAAAAGTGGAATGTAGGCAAGGGTTATAGAGTCAGTTTGTGGAACGACCTGTGATTGGAAGGTGGATCCCTCAAAGACCCATACCCTCAAATTTTTTATAGTACAACAGAAAGACATCTGAATTAATGATTCATTCAGGGAAGTTCTTTTCCTTTTTTTTGGGAGGGGCGAGGGGAGAGGAGGGGTTGGGAGGGGAAGGAATGGCAGGTTGTAGTACAGAGAAATCTCAAAGACGAGAGATCTATGAGTATTAAGAATTGTTAAGAACCTTATCTTTCGTAACCATGGATTGGTAGCAACAACAATCTTGTGTGGTGTCTCAATACTAATTGGTCCTTCTCGGTCAAATTTTTATTATTAACATTTGACCAAGTAAGAAGACTCGGGCACTAGGTTTCCATTTAGACAGATTTTGAATATTAAAGTTCCGCCTCGTGTATCATTTTCCGCATGGGAAGCCGGTAGGGAATGCATCCTGATCATAGACAAATTAATGAAACGGGGCAAGATAATGGTGAATGTATGCTATATCTGTAAAAGGGCCTAGGGGACTTGTAACCATGTGCTTCTCTGGTGTCCGATGGTATACAAGCTTTGTACTATAGTCAATGGGCTTTTAGGAATCAATTGGATAATGGCTAACTCGGTTCAAAATGATTTTGACTTTATTAGAATAAATGGTTCCAGACCCTTACATTTTTATTATTGGGTCATCCTCTTTACTCTACAAAGAATTTAGGGGACCTCATTGATATTTTAGTAAACTTATAAGAACTTTGTATACGGGTTGGTACCCCCTTGGTGTCAATTGTTAATATATTTTTCCCACTTTATATTTCCAAAAAAAAAAAAAAGATAAGACTTCAAAAAACTTACCATTACCAGATAGTATTTACCATCAACCATGAAAGTATTTTTCAGTGAACAGTTTCAACAGTACTAGTAGCAAAGTGATACAACAAAATGATATAAAACCTAAACATGAGACAAAAATGAAGAGAAACAACATTACTGCCGTGTTGCAACATCATCAAAGCCAGCATCTTACCTTCAGAATTGTAGGTGTTGGCAGATCAATGGCATCCATGCCATCACCCATATAAGAACACATAAGTGAAAAAGCTGCACGGTCATAGAACGTGTCCCTCCTTGTTATAAGATAGGATGATGTAAGAAAATCTTGAGTAGATGCCACCAGAATTTCTCCATTTTTTGGAGTGCATAAATTATTTTGCACCTAAGGAAGACCAAAGGATGGTTAAGTGCAGCAGTACCATATATAAGAAAATTCAAGCGGAGAAGGGTAAAAAGAAACCAGTCTACAAGGCAGAACATGATCCTAAAGGGATACTCCTATTTGGTGCCCGAAATGTGCTCTTAGTTTCCTCATTATCATGACTTCAGCTTAAAGAACTATAATTTTCGAGGCTAAGCAGATAAAATACACATTATAAGCACCTCAAACAAACAGGCAAAATCAGATACATAAACTCCAGAATCATCATCATGCCAAAAGGCTTCTCTCTAATACACTATTAACACCGAGAACGAGCATAACCCCTTCAGAAATTCCAGATTGTTGGAATGTACTCTGAAAGAAGAATATGAAAAACAGAACCTAGTTTGACTTTTTAGAATTTTCACAAATAATCCACATGGTTCAATATTTAACTAGTAAGTATATTAAGGACCTTTTTACCATAAAAAAAAGGTAGATTAAGCATTTATCATACTATTTAGCATCTCAAATTGTCATGATTTCGCTGACAAATTCCTGACTTGACCAATCACAGGAAGCGTCCTCTGGCTATAAATGATGGTCCAGTTCAGTCTACTGCACATCTTAGAGCACAGTTAGAACAAAGACTGTTTTGGGACATTTTCACTTTGGCATCATAATAATTTCAGCTAGCTACTACAACTCTGTCCTCCCTGCACTTAAACAGTTCAGGAAGATTTTTCATTGTTCTCTCTCAGAAATCTGACACATCAATTATGAGTTAAAGTTATTACATGGTAATGAATATGAGTAGTTACCCAGGCCAAATAGGGGTATCTCTATTTTTATATGGAATCACTGATTACTATGACTATTTTCCAATAAGAAAAGAAAATTTTATTAGAAAGAGTGAGAGGACAAACAGGGCGGATACAGTATCCTACACAGCAAAAAAAAAGGCAAAAATAATAAGAGATTAAAGAAATCATCTATAAGCTATCCCTTTCCATGATAAAAAAGGTACCCAAGAAACAGGCGATAAGCCTTGACCCACAGAGAAGCCATGAAAACAAATCCGTCCTGCTGAAAATGAGTTGAAAAATCCTGGCATTACCATTAACTAGTACTATTATGTCTATTAAGTTTTCCTCTTACCATTCTGGAACTCAACCACCATCTAAAAGTTACTCTTTTCCAGAGAAACATGTCACCATTACTTATTATAAAGTTTTGGAAAGAAGGGAGCAGTTCAATATTAAGTAGATGAGTCTCTTTGAAGCAATCTAAGAAAGCAAGTCAACATTGGACATTACACATATTTAATATGATGATTCAGGAAAATTCCACATAACAATGAATTCCAAAGAATTTACCCCCATCAGCAAAAGTGCCTCTGTTCGAGCTTCTTCCGTTTGTGGGACATGCATATTCATCTCGTCCCCATCAAAATCAGCATTATATGGATTACAAACAGATTCATTAAACCTTAATGTCCTCCAAGGCATTATTCTTGCCTACATGCCAAAGCAGATTATCTAATTAATCAAAAATAAAAAAATATATATATGGCACAAGAATTGCCACTCAAATTGTGGATAAATCACCCTATGGCACATGATAGACATCCGATGCAAGCTTGGTTGTCTGTTAAAAAGAACAATGTCTCCATCTTCTAAATGGCGATGAACTATGCAACCAAATTTGAGCTCATCAGCAAGGCGCTTTCTGTAATCACCCATTAAAACCCTGTGGCATAAAGGGTAAAATCCCATGTTATTTAAAACATAAAAAGAGAGGCTACAAACAAGAAAACAAGGCCAAGAATTGATAAACCTCTTAGAACCATCAGGATAACCAATCGTCCTTGCACCAGGATATTTAGAAGGGCCATTACGAACACACTGTCTCAACTTCTCAATATTATGATGAGAAACGCACTCGGGATAGGTTAATATCCGTGCCATGTGAATAGGAATTGCTACCTGAGTATGGCATCCATGAGAACCCATTCTAACACAAGCTCCTATAAAACCTTCATCTTTTTTAGGGAAAAATATATTTTTTAGAGAAAAAAGTACTTCGAGTTTTGCAACGAAGAGCTACCTCAGTAATTTTCAAATTAGGGTCAGGAGATATAACAGTCCGTCCGGTAAATTCAACACGCTTTCCAGATAAATTCCCACGAAAGCGTCCCTGCTTCCCCTTAAGGCGCTGGACAAAACCACTCAAAGGTTTGGCCACTTGCATGGCAAACGGAACACCACGAACATCACTATTTATGTACTGTGCAACCTCAACTTGAAGCATATCCCATCCAGCCTAAACAAAAATCTTCAACGTAAGCATAACAAGAAATACAGCAGTACCAAAAGTAACAATAATAGTATTTGCATGTATAAGTAGTAACATAGATACTACTAGTCATGAGGAAAATACATAACCAAAGGGCTTGGCACTTGAGTCTCAGGAATCAGGCCTCTAATATTAACACTTTAAAGCTAAATGGTTATGGAAGTTTTCATTAAAAACTAAGTTATGCCATTCACTCAAATACATGGAATACACAAGATAAATTTGACCTGTGGTATTGAACCTTACGACTAGGCTTCTTAATACTTTTGGCGACATGTGAATTTCTCCCCTTTCCTCAATTGTTTTACTAAATTTGTCTCTTGGAGGAGTTGGGGTGAAGTAGGATGTAGGATCCTCTGGAGAGGTGCTCGTTTGGTTGAGTTATGTGTTTTGCGGTTAAAACGCAACCCTAGAATCTTCAAGTATCCCTTGGTCACCTCTTGGTTTTTGTAGTTAATAAATAAGAAAAATGTAACTCCGACAATGTGAATGCCTATGTGTATTTGTTTGCTACATATTGGGAATTCCAATAGTCAAATTCCACTTAATCCTCTATTTCATCACCACAAGAGAGAAAGAAAAAGAAAAAGGGGTGAGATTCCTGAGCACGAGAATTGCACCTCTAATATCAATCTTACAAAGTCAGAATTGATGAAACTGGGCGAGGGGAGTAACACTACTAGATTTGCAGAAGTCTTGGGGTGTAATTTGATGCCCTTTGGGAGCAAAATACAAATATGGGAGAATGAGAGATCCTGTTGTGGTAAGGTATGAGAGGAGATTGGCAGGGTGAGAAATTTATTATCCAAAAGTGGGTGCTTTACTCATTAAAAGTACGTTATCCAACTTTCCTTTGTACTATATATCCCTTTTAACAATCCCCATGTGTGTAGATAAGAAATTGGAAGCAAATTAATGTACATTCTATAGCATGATTCCCAGGAGAAAGGGAAATATCATTTGGTGGCATGGGAAATGATAAAAAGACTATTGCATCACTGCAGTTTGGATTTGAGATCTATAGTAGAAATGAAGCAAGCACTTCATGGCAAGTAGATTTCGGGTTTATGAAAGAAAACAGTATTCTTTGGTGGAGGGTGACTGAGGCAAAATTTGGTATGGTAGATAGAAGTTGGTATTCCAGAGTTTTGATAAAACTGCATTGGATGGGATGTAAAAAAATATTTATGGAAAGTTATAAATTTCAGGAATGTATCAGGTGGATTGTTGGCAATGGAGAGAGAACCAGCTCCGAGACGAATCCTTGGCTTGGAGAAGGTGCACTTAGAGACAGGTTTCTACAGATGTTTGCTATTGCAAGATATAAGGATATTTCAGTCAGGTATTGAGAAATCTTAAGGATTAGAAAATAAATGAATATGAAACTCTCTTGAGTTCATTGTCTTCTAAATGTCTGAATGAGAACTATTACCAACCGATTTGCACTTTCACCTAAGTAGGGATGTCTCGGTTGTGTCCTTTTATAACTATTTGCCCAAGAATGATACATTAGAGAACAAGTTTCCTTTCCATTAAATCTGAAATGTGAATAATATCTCTAAAGTTGCTTTCTTTACTTGGAAAGCAGAGCATGGATGTATTCTTGCCATTGACAAATTGTTGAGATGATGAAAGATTATGGTGACCTCATGCTTTCTATGTAAGAGAGCCGATGAGACTTGTAACCATATCTTACTATAGTGTTCTCTTGCATATAATTTCTGGACTATGGCATGTGGGTTTTTGGGATTAGCTGGGTAATGGTTGGTAATGTAAGAGAAATGGTCAGAAATTGGTTTGTTTCTCTACAGCAAAGCGTGCTTCTTCAATTCTTTACTTTCCTCTCCTTCTTCTACCTTAGTTTCTTTATGGATCAGGACAGGTTCCTGACACAAGGTTCATGGGTGTCTCAAATATGTCTCCTTAACCTTGTTACTAATGGATCAAGGTGCACTATTGAATTGATTTTTTCTGCTTTGTTTACTTTTTCCTGTTGTTCTTCTTGAGGTCTTTGAGGATTTGTGATCCTCTCAATTCTACTTTCTTCTTTTTCTCTCTATTCGTATTACTTCTTTTTGCAGTAAAAAAAGACAACTCAGAGAGGACCCAAGAAGTTCATCTCTAATGCATATTCCTCTTTTGCTCAATATTTCATTTTAGGCCAAGGATGGCTGATAACCATAAATAAATTCACACAAGAATAATAGAAACAAATGTCCCGGAGGTTAGGATCCTATTACTTTATTATAATATCATTATGATAGTGACAAATGAAAGTCCTAGAACATAAAGTTTAACAAATAAAATTTCTTATACCAAACTTTTAAATGCCGCACTTGGTTCTAACAATTCTTGACGAACGCTCGCATTTGCTTGAATGATTCGTTTTAACCTCTCTGTTATGTCGTTTTCATTGCTGCACAAAGGAAGACGAATTAAGCATTAGCTTTCTAGCCAAACCAAGCATTGATGAGCTAGAAGAGAAGTTTAAAATTTAATGAGAAAACTATTTAATACAAAATCCAGCTAAATATGCTTGCAAAACCTCTGTGATCCATCAATGATAACAGAAGGCCGGACAGGTATAGGTGGTACAGCAATGCTTGTTATCATGAGCTTCTCAGGTCTGTCAGAAAGATAAAGCAATTCACAATCCTGTCATACAATTAAACAAAATGACGGTTTATATTGTTAGAAGATCAGACTTTCTCTGCATGGTGTAAAATGCATGCCTTTTCTTTGTTTAGAATACCTCTTCCATTGTTGTGAACCTACTTTCTTAAAAATGAATACGACTGATGATTCCATTCAGTACCTCAAAGAAGAAAAGAAGATTAAACTGTCCATAGAGATATACCTCATCACTCATCCTTCTGAAGAGAGAAAGCACTTCCACAGGATTAATAATATAAGTAGCAGGATTAATGGATGACTTAGATTCTTTTGTGTGAGAGATTGCAGATCTGAATTCTTCCAAGCTCCCACCATTGATTTTTGAACGATCATGAATGATACCCAGCATAGATATTGCTTTCTTAACCATTCCTGAAAGTTCCATATATTTTTGCATAAGAATATAGGAAATTATATATATCAAATTACAAATAAATGGCACTCAAGCAATTGAAAAGAAAATCCACAAAACGAAACTTTGACCCCATTTCGAGTTATCAAATACCAAAGCAATCACTATGATGAAATTTCCAGGAAAATAGTAAGTAAAATATTTATTGGATAACACCATTAGTCTTATAGGAAATCTTTTCACTCACATTGAATCTCTCAAACACAGATCACTTTGCAAGTTAGACATAATGTTTGATAGCACAGCAACCATTTAACTGTTGCATTTGCACTGATTCAATAGCCATCCTATTTCACGATCAATAATTGATGCATTATGTGTTTCATACTTTCGGTTCCATTTTACTGGGGCATGACATATTAGATTGGGAAGATATGGGATGTGTCATTGACCATTTAATTGATATGTAACTAATACATATATGGATGGTACTTCCTTAGTACCTTTGTGAATAATAACACCTTCATGAATAATAACACCTTCATCTTTTATCTCAAAAAAAAAAAATTAATGTATTATGTATAGAGATATACTTAGTTAATTAGATGCCAAAGCAACGGTTTAAGTCTTACATTTGCACTGATTCAATAGCCATCCTATTTCATGATCAATAATTAATGCATCATGTCCAGAGATATACTTAGTTAATTAGATGCCAAACCATTTATATAACCACATCTTGAGCACTTTATAGCTTTGCTGCTTGCCATGGCACTGCACTTTTTTACAATTGTTTTCATCAAATCACTCTTCCGCAGAGGTTCCATTCTCGGACTTCTCATCTTCTTCAAATAGTCTTTGCACAATTTCTCCTCGAGAAGTATACAGGAACAAGACTGTCAAGAAAGTTTTCTAAATCAGAACTGCTAAAATCATGGTTAACAGAATTCAAGCTTGCATTCAAGGATGAACAATGGAATATGACTCCATTTATAATAATCAATATTCATAGAAGTACAGAAGACACTTGACCAAGTAGCTCACCTACAAAATTCAAAATTTATACATATTAGTCCTGCCATGCATGCAACAGCTATTGCCTAACACTGCCATCAAAGGCCTTCAAGGTATGCCGCCAACCCAACCCCAACCCCCCAACCCATGCACGGGTTCAAATTTTGTAGCATCATGAATTTCTTAATATTTCTTCTATTGCCCCAAGATTTTTTCAATATTTTATGTATTATTATTTTTAAATATTTTTTGCAAAATTTGTAATTTGCTTATAATTTCTTAATTTTGTTTACAATAATAAAAAAGAAAATACATAAGTGGATTAGATTTTTATATATAAAAAAAGTAAATAAGTAAATGAAAAATTAAAAACATAAACACGTATATGACATAAGGTGCAATAATATTTTGTTGTAAGAAAACTAAAGCAATAAACATAATAAGAACAAAAAAAAAATATTTATATAATAAATAAAAGAAAAAAGTTACAATTAAAAATTATTTATAATGGGAGTTTTGCCCAACAGCTCCATTTATTCTCAGTGATGAATTATTCCCCTCCCCTGTCCACAAAATTCATGACTCAGCCACCGCCTACACTTGCATATTTGACATGTTTTACAAGCCTGCATCATGTATGTTCTTACTATATTTAAAAGTTCTAAGCAGTTAGGAATTTCGCATCATTATTTTCTTAATCTTAGTTTGAATGGTTACCCTTTCCAATCAAAATTGGCTATATTACTTATTTTCTGTTTAAAATACTTGACAGAAAGCAATGGACTGTAACAGAATATCCAGACACAGTGTCGTGGCTATAATAGTGCTATCAAATTTGAGTATGGGACATGCAGGAAGCTTGACCCAACTTAGCCTCCTTATTGTGGAAAAAAGCTGCCGTAAGACCTCATCTGACTCTTTTATAACCATATTTTATAGCTCCCTGCTGCTATTATCAAAACAAATAAACTATTTCTTATAGAATTACTAAAATCTACTCGTAGTCCACTATGAAAGGAAGAAAATGTCTTTATAAATGATAAAATTGACATCCTAGAGAATCTCAAATACATTCTAAAGCCCACGAATTCTGGTAGAATTTAAAATGTAATTTACAATTCCACTTGAAATTCTCAATAAGGTTAATCCTAACAAAGTAAATAATTTTTGTGTCTCATAGTTCTACTAAATGTGAAATTTCAAATAAATTCCAAAAATCGAGTTTATCTGTACCAGCAAACATATACTTCAGTCATAACATGACATGAAAATACATATCGAACACAATTTATTCTGCTGAAGAAAATGAGACTTGGAAAAAGTGCCAAATATTCATGTATTATCATTCCAATACCTTACAAATGCACTTTAAAATGTCCAAAATAGTAGCCAGATATCCAACATTATAAACAGGGAGAGCAAGACTCAAGTATCCATAATGTCCTGGACAATCTCCATAGTCCCCACCGCAGGTGGCGCATCTGCAAGTTTTATTTGCAGGACCCTGAAACCAACGAATCAGCGACCATTCAGTGCCTTTTTCTTTCTCTTTTGAGAGTAAATATTAGTTAGTATATATAACTCCTAGGAGGTGCAACCCATAAAGAAACTTTTACAGATCTGTCAAGATACCAATAAGGTCTCAAAAGTCCTCATAAGTATAAAGAATATGGCCCTTTCTTAAACAGGATAAACCCTTATTCAGAGTCTCTCTCTTTCTTCACCACAAATTTAAATAATGAAAGTAATACTATCAAAAGGATATAGTATATATCCAACAAAAAAGCATAAGTACGAAAATGAGTTCCTCCAAAAAAAGATAACATTTAAATCCGACTAAATCACTCATGAAGACAGCAATTCCTACTTTGCATAATCTTAACCGAGGAGGCAGCAAATACCAAGCTGCCTTTCTTAGAGTAGAGGGCAACAGAAATATAGATGAAACGATAAAAACACAGTTCATTATTGAAGTTCTAATGCCATTCAAATTTTTGCCTCTTCTACATATCTGCCCTCCCCAGACCCTACACATGCACTGCCTCATCCTTTCCAAGAACCTTTCCCATTATCCAGGCCATGGGTGGCTCAATAATATAGGTGTTTCTTTGTCAGATTTACTTAACAGGTTCAGCCGCAGTTTAGTACACATAAGGGCTTATAGAGAGAAAAAAATAGCATATTGTTCAATCATTTGCTTTCAACAATCAATCGTCCAGTTAGATTTTCATTTTCATTTCACTCTTCAGTAGAGATCCCATGCTACTTTTATATTTTGAGAGAAGAGTACTTATTATATTACTGGATCCAACCTAAGAGAATACCAGGTTAATCCACAGCCAATACTAACCCTTTAAATCCTGCCTGCAATCCTATATTTTCTGACATTTCCAAATCTTCTACAAGCTCAAAGTCAATCAAAAACTCATCAATCCGTTAAATAAGAAACAATGCTTCAAGCATGCCCCATATTTAACAACTAGAAACATACTAACATACATAAAGAGAAAGGGAAATTAGAGAGAGAGAGAAGTTATACTAGCATGCATAGGGAGAGAGGAAACAAATAGTATACATAGAGAGCAGTATGGAAATACAAGCTCATGCATGCCCCTGCATACATACATGTCTGCACTATACATATAGAGAGAGAGATATGGAAACACAAGTTCATACATGTGTGCATTTCTTTTAAACTATATAGAAAAAGAAGAATGTAATACCATGCGGGGGTCCAATAAGCCACCTTCAATAGGCTTGCCTTTGGGATCATAGTATACCCCTTGCCATACTTGCACTTCCCCTGATTTGACAATCTCTGAATCAGAAAGCATTGAGAATTCTATGCTCTTTCTGCGGAATTACAACATAAAATATTACTAAAAAGTTTAACAAGAAATGGAGCCTTCTTCAATTGATTTTAACTTCAGAAAAACTATAAAAGATGGTTAAAAAAAACCCTATCATAGAAAATACTTACATTCTTCGAGGGCCAACATCCTCAATATAAGGCTGCTTGGTGAACTCTATATTCTTTGGTTTCTGCATCTCTCTAACTAGCACTTAAAAGATCAAGAAAAATAAAAATAGAAACCATTCAGTACACCCACGGCATCATACTCACAAATAAGTTTATATCTATATACATATGCAGGTAAAGTTCATATCATATTGAAGACAGAACTAACTGTCATAAAGAGAGAACTAGGATTTTGCCACAAACAACAGACAGAACGATGAATTAATGACTTGCGATAGACGAAAAGAAGAAATATAACTGTATCGTATTCATAAATATACAAAACTTCATATCTACATACAGATGAAGACAGAGTTCATATCAAAATTAATGAAAAAGTAGCTTACTGTGTTGAAGAGAGAGCTAATTTTTTGTATTGAACGATAAACAGACCAAAAAATAGCGAAGAACCTGGCAAACCCAGACACGAGCATTTCGTCTCACACTTGGCTCAAAACCAAAAGTTTTTTAATACAGTTCAGCTCATTTGGAAAAATAACACAAAATTTGAGACTGGCTCAAGAAAAATTCAATATAAGCTTGAAATTGACACAAAGAGATCGTTCATAACATCCTACCTTGGTGAACATTGGTCTCCTTGTTTAAAAAAAACCAAACTGAAAAACCGATTAACTCCATTAACTGACTGAACCAACTCATTAAGCATTATGAACCGAAACCAAATAACCTTCCTAGTTTTCAAATTCGTCAAAACACAAAGTTTATAGCAATCCGGCAACCTCCACTCCAACATCAATTGTACTTCAATTTTCACTTTCTAGTTTTTCTACAACTACCTAGTTTACAAAATTACACACCACAATAACAGAACACAACAATACCATAGTCTTTTGCTTTTTAAAAACAATTGAAAAAGAAACGACATCCCAAACATAAATCAGCATCGAGTTGCTGAGTCACCTCCGGGCTCGGGCAAGGTTCGGCGCTTTCTGATTTTCTGTCCACTGCAGGTGTGATGGCCGACCACGGCGAGGCAGGTAGCAAGCTTGGACCGCGGCGAGCGAGGGAAGGATGAATAACCGGAGAGTTCGTGATAGCCGGGACTCGTGAGGCGGAGAATAGGAGGGAGCCTCAAGGCTGAGCACAGCTCAAACTTGTGAGGGAAAGGCCGTCAAGAAACGTGAATCAAATAGAGAAGAGGAGGAAATAGGGAAAATGAATTGAGTGAGTTTGTAAATACTGACTGTGAAAGATGACAACTAAGGCCAAGGGATTTTAGGTTTTTTTAAAATTTATATATTGTTAATTGATTTAATTGAACAAATTGTATGACAAATCCAATTTAAACCAATTCAATTAATTTTATCTGAAATTTTTGTCACTTTATAATTTTTTTATTTTATTTAAAATATTTATAAAATAAATTTAATATATCTATTTGAAAGATAATCATATGTAAAACCTAAATTATAATCAATATATCACTTACAAAACTTAAAATGTAATGAACATGTTATATATATTCATACAATAATAAAATAAAACTCTTAATATTTAATTTACATTAATATTTATAGACTGCGTTATTAAAATTGCATATATATAATATGTACCTATAAAGTGAAAAAAAATAATAATTTATTAAGAAAAGTATATTTTGAGGCTAAAAAAGTAACTGAGCAGAATGCTTGAACACAAACCAAATGCGAGTCATAAATCTATTATTAAAACATACTTTCAATTCGATACTAATATTTTAAGTAATATAAGAAAAATATAGTATAAATCAATTAAAATATTTTTAAGTTATTTATTCCATACAATAATATTTTTTTTAATTAATGGGTAAGATAAATTAGAACAATATTAAAATCTTGAATCTTTTATTATTTTTTATTTAATTTTTCAGTATTGTTACTTTACCTAAAAATGTATTTGACACTATTATTAATAGATAAATATTGTGAAAAAAAATTATAATAATAAAAGGATTATCATGCATAAATAATATTAAATATTTTACTTGTTAAATATAATACTCTCAATAAAGATTTAGAAGTAGATGTTTTTCTTTATATTATATATGTTTCTATCTTCTATTTATGTTTTATATATATATTTCTAACTACATTATTATTTATAGTGCATGATATCATATTGTAATACTCGGCCCCAAAAAAGGCATGAAATATTTTGTTATTATTAAATTATTTTTATTTAATTAAAATTATGAGAAAAAAATTAAAGACGATATTGAAAACAATAGGAGCTCAAGTGAGAGCCTCAAGGCTGAGCACAGCTCAAACTTGTGAGAGAAGGTCGTCAAGAAACGTGAATCAAACACAGAATTTGAGGAAATAGGGAAGATGAGTTGAGTGAGTTTGTAAATACTGACTGTAAAAGACCGACAACCAGGGCCAATGACGACGAGTCGATTCATGCGCCGGATAAATTTTAGGATTTTTTAAAATTTATATATTCTTACTTGATTCAATTGAACAAATTGTTTGACCAATTCAGTTTAAACCGGTTCAATTAATTTTGTCTGAAATTTTTGTCACTTCATAATTTTTTTATTTTATCTAAAATATTTACAAAATAAATTTAATATGTCCAATTGAAAGATAATCATGTGTAAAACTTAAATTATACTCAATATATTATCTACAAAACTTGAAATGTAATCAACATGTTATATATATTCATACAATAACAAAACAAAACTCTTAACATTTAATTTACATTAACATTTATAGACTTCGTTAACGAAATTGCATATATATAATATGTACCTATAAAGTGAAAATAATAATAATAATTTATTAGGAAAAGTATACTTTGAGGCTAAAAAAGTAATTAAATAGAATGCTTGAACACAAACCAAATGTGAGTCATAAATCTATTATTAGAACATACTTTCAATTGGATACTAATATTTTAAGTAATATAAGAAAAATATAGCATAAACCAGTTAAAATATTTTTAAGTTGTTTATTCCATACAGTAATATTTTTTTTTTAATTAATGGGTAAGATAAATTAGAACAATATTAAAATCTTGAATCTGTCATTATTTTTTATTTAATTTTTCAGTATTGTTACTTTACCTAAAAATATATTTGACACTATTATTAATAGATAAATATTGTGGAAAAAAATTATAATAATAAAAGGATTATCATGCATAAATAATATTAAAAATTTTACTTGTTAAATGTAATAATCTCAATAAGGATTTAGAAGTAGATGTTTTTCCTTACATTATATATGTTTCTATCTTCTCTTTATGTTATATTTCTAACTACATTATTATTTATAGTGCATGATATCATTATGTAATACTCGGCCCCAAAAAAGGTTTGAAATATTTTTTTATTATTAAATTATTTTATTTAATTGAAATTATGAGAAAAAAAAATTAGGGACGATATTGAAAACAATAGGAGCTCAGGTGGGAGCCTCAAGGTGGAGCACAGCTCAAACTTGTGAGGGAAGGCCGTCAATAAACGTGAATCAAACACAGAATTTGAGGAAATAGGGAAGATGAATTGAGTGAGTTTGTAAATACTGACTATGAAAGACCGACAACCAGGGCCAAGGGCGACGAGTCGACTCATGCGCCGGATGGATTTTAGGTTTTTTTAAAATTTATATATTCTTAATTGATTCAATTGAACAAATTGTTTGACCAATTCAGTTTAAACCAGTTCAATTAATTTTGTCTGAAATTTTTGTCACTTCATAATTTTTTTATTTTATCTAAAATATTTACAAAATAAATTTAGTATATTCAATTGAAAGATAATCATATGTAAAACCTAAATTATACTCAATATATCACCTACAAAACTTGAAATGTAATCAATATCTTATACAGATTCATGCAATAAGAAAACAAAACTCTTAACATTTAATTTACATTAACATTTATAAACTATGTTATCGAAATTACATATATATAAAATGTACCTATAAAGTGAAAAAAAAAAATTATTAGGAAAAGTATACTTTGAGGCTAAAAAAGTAATTAAGCATAATGTTTTAACACAAACCAAATGCGAGTCATAAATCTATTATTAGAACATACTTTCAATTAGATACTAGTATTTTAAGTAATATAAGAAAAATATAGTATAAACCAATTAAAATATTTTTAAGTTGTTTATTCCAGACAGTAATATTTTTTTTAATTAATGGATAAGATAAATTAGAACAACATTAAAATCTTGAATCTTTCATTATTTTTTATTTAATTTTTCAGTATTGTTACTTTACCTAAAAATATATTTGACACTATTATTAATAGATAAATATTGTGGAAAAAAATTATAATAATAAAAGGATTATCATGCATAAATAATGTTAAATATTTTACTTGTTAAATGTAATAATCTCAATAAGGATTTAGAAGTAGATGTTTTTCTTTACTTTATATATGTTTCTATCTTTTATTTATGTTATATATATATAGATATATATATTTCTAACTATTTATAGTGCATGATATCATTATGTAATACTTGGCCCCAAAAAAGTCAATAAATATTGTTTTATTATTAAATTATTTATTAAAATTTATTTTATTTAATTTATTTTTATTTAATTAAAATTATGAGAATAAAAAATTAGGAACGATATTGAAAACAATAGGAGCTCATGTGGGAGCCTCAAGGCTGAGCACAGCTCAAACTTGTGAGGGAAGGCCGTCAATAAATGTGAATCAAATAGAGAAGATGAGGAGGGAAGATGAGTTGAGTGAGTTTGTAAATATTAACTGTGAAAGACTGACAACTAGGGCCAAGGGCGACGAGTCGACTCATGCGTCGGATGGATTTTAAGTTTTTTTAGAATTTATATATTCTTAATTGATTCAATTAAACAAATTATTTGATCAATTTAGTTTAAACCGGTTCAATTAATTTTGTCTGAAATTTTTGTCACTTCATAATTTTTTTATTTTATCTAAAATATTTACAAAATAAAATTAATATATCCAATTGAAAGATAATCATATATAAAACCTAAATTATACTCAATATATCACCTACAAAACTTGAAATGTAATCAACATGTTATATATATTCATACAATAACAAAAAAAAAACTCTTAACATTTAATTTACATTAACATTTATAGACTACGTTATCAAAATTGCATATATATAATATGTACCTATAAAGTGAAAAAAAAAATTATTAGGAAAAGTATACTTTGAGGCTAAAAAAGTAATTGAGCAGAATGCTTGAACACAAACTAAATGCGAGTCATAAATCTATTATTAAAACATACTTTCAATTAGATACTAATATTTTAAGTAATATAAGAAAAATATAGCATAAACCAGTTAAAATATTTTGAAGTTGTTTATTTCAGACAGTAATATTTTTTTTAATTAATAGGTAAGATAAATTAGAACAACATTAAAATCTTGAATCTTTCGTTATTTTTTATTTAATTTTTCGGTATTGTTGCTTTACCTAAAAATATATTTGACACTATTATTAATAGATAAATATTGTGAAAAAAAATTATAATAATAAAAAGATTATCATGCATAAATAATATTAAACATTTTACTTGTTAAATATAATAATCTCAATAAAGATTTAGAAGTAGATGTTTTTCTTTATATTATATATGTTTCTATCTTCTATTTATGTTATATATATATATATATATATATATATGTATATATATTTCTAACTACATTATTATTTATAGTGCATGATAACATTATGTAATACTCGGCTCCAAAAAAGGCCTGAAATATTTTTTTTATTATTAAATTATTTTATTTAATTTATTTTTATTTAATTGAAATTATGAGAAAAAAAATTATGGACGATATTGAAAACAATAGGAGCTCATGTGGGAGCCTCAAGGCGGAGCACAGCTCAAACTTGTGAGGGAAGGCCGTCAAGAAATGTGAATCAAACAGAGAAGAGGAGGAAATAGGGAAGATGAGTTGAGTGAGTTTGTAAATACTGAGTGTGAAAGACCGACAACCAGGGCCAAGGGCGACGAGTCGACTCATGCGCTGGATGAATTTTAAGTTTTTTTTAGAATTTATATATTCTTAATTGATTTAATTGAACAAATTGTATGACCAATTCAGTTTAAACTGGTTCAATTAATTTTGTATGAAATTTTTGTCACTTCATAATTTTTTTATTTTATCTAAAATATTTACAAAATAAATTTAATATATCCATTTGAAAGATA